AGAATTATGTTTTTAATGCCAAAATCATTGTGATCATTACGAAAAATACCGAATTTTATATCATTAAATGTTCGATTCATTAACTGAAATCCTTTGGAGACAAACCAGCCAAAACCTTTTTACAACTTCACACAAATAGATCAATGATCAAATCATCCATTTTAAATCATTGTTTTAATAAGTCTTTAGTCGGATATATCTTATTTATAATTTTGAATTGCATTTCTTTTATCTTTGGCAGGACTGGGAATTTTAAAAGTATTTATTATGCCTATGACCCTGACGACAGATCAGACGGACACGTGACTAGAAACGTCCAATCAGAGCGTCTGCATTCAGACTCAGATTAATCTCATGATGTGAACATGAATGTTGATGAGGGACCATATGAGTGTTATCTCATGTGAATTATGAATGAGATTTGCACATATAAACGAATATTTACAGCATATGATATGATCATTGGATATGTTTGATGAATAAAGCACTGCATCAAACAAATAGTTTTGAGATAACTTTAATGCTTTTGGTGATGATTTTTTACAGAAATTTCTAAACTGATTCATTTTCAGTGAATAGTAAAAAAAAAAAAAAAATCCAGGAAATTAAAAAGTAAATTGATAATTTAAAACAAACCAACAAATTGAACAGTAAAAATAGAAATATTTAAACTGACACGCTTCTCAAATTCTAGTATATTTAATAGCGTCTTTAGAACACAATAAAATTGACAATCAAACCCCTGATATTTCTAAAAAGAGATCAGCATATTAATACTTGCAATAAAACAAATGATACAAAGAGATCAATTAAGATGTAAAATTAATTAAAAAAACTGACAGAATCAAAATTTGGAACGATTATGTATGGTAATAAACAGCAGTGCATGAGGATACAATATTGCTCTGAGTTAATTGCATATATATATATATATATATATATATATATGCGTAAATGCATAAATATGGGATTTTTTTACCGTCTGCATCAACAATATCATTCATAAAACACATGCAACCGTGCACCTGAGATGCAGCGCTTTCATTTATCACAGAATAAATGCTGTAATTCCTCTAGGATTTACTGAACATGCATGACCCTAATTAACCTGAGATCTTCTCGTTAGAGCCGGTGACATCATCACTCATGCAGATCAGCGAGAGCGTTTCAGAAGAGTTGCAGCTCGTCCTCATCTCACACACTTCATCAGCACACACACAGGGCAGATTAACCACAGACACACAGAAATCTGAGATGCCAAGAGTTATTCAGACGAGAGATTGTGAAACGAGAAAATACGTGAAAACCGCATTCTTTCTTCACTTTAATTGATAAAAATCAACCATTTCCATTAAAATAAGAAAAAAATATTTTAGAATGAAATTGAATAGCTTTTTTGCGTTTTTTTTTTTTTAATTAATTTGATTTAATTTTTTTTATTTCTTCTGAATATATATATAGATTTTTATAAAATTTTAGTTCAGTTTTAGCTCAAATTTTTTATAAGCTTAAGTTTTTTATATTTTATTTTAGTAAAAAAAAATCTAAAGCAACAAAAAGATGTTTTAGTTTTAGCTTCAGTTAGTTGTAATAACCCATAATCTCACTTAATTTTGATAAATTTCTCAGAAAATGAGACTTCATAAGTAATTTAGCATGTCCAGTAAATGTTTCTTGATTTAAAGGATTAGTTCCCTTCAGAATTAAAATCTCCAGATAATCTACTCTCCCCTCGTCATCCAAGATGTTCATCTCTTTCTTTCTTCGGTCGAAAAGAAATGAAGGTTTTTGAGGAAAACCGTTTCAGTGCAGCTTCAAAGTCTCGCCGAGGAATAAGAGTCTAGACAAACCAGCGGACATTAAGAACAAAAACACCGATATATACTTTTAACCACTAATGCTGGTCTTGTACGTCCACGACTTCACTCATTACGTGATCAGGGTGAAAGGTCACGCGTGTTCTGGTTCAGAAATGTTATGTAGAGCGAAAAACTCTCATTTCCTCCTCCAATTTTAAAACCGTCCAACATCGTTGTTTTACCTTTTATTTTAATTTATTTTTTGTAAAGGGCGTTTGCACATTGACTTAAAGTATATAAATGTGTTTTTTGTTGTAAATGTCGCTGGTTTGTCTAGATCAGACTCTTATTCCTCGGCTGAATCGTGTCGAGACTTCGAAGCTGCACTGAAACTCACATCTGACCTTCGACCCGTTGGACCCCATTGAAGTCTCTATATGGAGAAATCCTGGAGTGGAATTATTTTCAACTGATGAAAAAAACATATTGGATGTCTTGGATGGGTGGGGCCGAGTAAATTATCAGGAAATTTTAATTCTGAAGTGAACTCCTCCTATAACCCTCTGGTGCTCTTCACGTGTCAGTCAAAAATGGTCAAAATGAAGTGCAAAAAGCTTTAAAAAGTGACCTTAAAAAGTTTTGTTATGTAAAATAGTATTTTTGCACATTTTCTCATTTTATATGAAATATATATTTTCAAAAACATGTTTTACTCTAAAACTGTGAGAAAATCAAAGACATAAATCTAAACAAGCGTGTTAAAAAAAGTTTGGATGCAGTACCAAACGCTTCCACTAGATGAGATTCGTTTCCCATTTATGATTTTTGTGTTGATTTGTGTGTGTGTGTGTGTGTTCTCACAGCAAATGCCAAAACCTTTACCAAATTTTGTACCATTCCAATGAAGGAAAAAAAAACGAATCTAAAATTTTTCGGACAAAATTGAGCGAAGAGCGCCAGAGGGAATGTTCAGATATTTGTGCTGGAAAAGAGAGAAACCACAGGACATTCACACGGGGATCTTCATGCAGCTCATGCACTGCGGATCTGTTGGGTTAGTAGCACCTGGAACAGGCTCAGATCAGCTTCATGGTGAACCGGCCCGTTTCCACGGAGCTCCGGCCGGTTCTGTTTGCCGACGCGGAGCTGCGCGGGACGAAGTCGATGGTCGCCGTGTGTTTGATCTGCCCTTTGCTTTGACTCCAGAAGAACATGAACACGAAGCACACGGCGACCGAGCTCAGGAACGACAGGAACCCCATAGTCACCGCGATCACTAGCGTCTTCACGTCGAACGGGAAAGGCTGCGACCCGTTAACCGGCACTTGTCCCGACGTGAAGCTCCAGCCCTCCAGAAAGAACGGACCTGAACGGTTTCGAGTGGACGCCGGAAACCCGCGCACCCGCAGGCTAACAGAGACGCTATCGTTCCCTGCGGCGTTCGACGCAACGCACAGGTAGTATCCGCTATCCTGCACCTGTGCGTAACGCACCTCAAGCGTCCCGTTGGGAAGCACGCGGACCCTCCCCGAACCGGTGAGAACGGAGCGCTTCGGGTTCACCCAGGTGATCGCCGGCGCCGGGTCTCCGTCCGCCGCACAGAAGAACAAAACCGTGTGGCCTTCGTCCGTACGAACGTCTTGCGGCTTACGGGTCAGAACGCGAGCTTGCCGGCACGTGAACAACCGGGGAAGCTCGGCCTCGGAGAAGTCGTGGAGCGTCCGGCCTTGCACCTGCACAGGTGAGCCACAGGTGGGCGAACGCCCGAAGCTAATCCGCGAGCGTCGGCGCATCACCCAGAGAAGTCGGCAGTCGCACGCTAGCGGGTTACCGTCCAACCTGAGCACCTCTAAAGTCCCGACCGAGTGGAACGCCGACGACTCCAGCGTCGCTAATCGGTTCCCAGACACGTTTAGGAGCCGGAAGCCCGCTAGGTTACGGAAAGCGCCCGGTTCGATACGCAACAATCCGGCGCCGACTAAATGCAGCTCTTGAAGGCGTAGCAAATCCCCGAGGAGATTTGGAAGGATAATAGAGATTGGATTGTAGGACAAATCCAGGTATCGCAGGTACACGAGGTGGTGAAGCGGGGAATACGGAACAGCGCTCAGGTTGCAATGGCTAAGCGTTAGTGAGGAAAGATTAAGTCCGATGAGGCTGTTAGCAGCTAGCGAGTCTAACCACGGGCAGTGCGATACGTGTAGCTCCCGAAGGCGGATTAGCGTACGGAAGGAGTGATTGGGAAGTGAGGTGATCCCGAGTCTGCAGAGACGGAGCTGAAGGAGACCGGTTAGCGGCGACAAGGCCTCGACCGGCACCGTCGTTAAGTTGCACCGGTCCAGATTCAGCTCCTGGAGATTAGCCAGTCCGCCGAAGGCCCGGTTCGAGATGAACACCAGGTCGTTCTCGCTAGCCTCAAGTTTCTGTAGCGACGGCATCTCTCGGAACATATCGTCGAGGAACACTAAAATCTCGTTCTCACTGATGTCTAGAACCTGAACGTTGGGAAGGCCGGAAAACGCTCCGACTGGGATGATCTTGAGCCGGTTGCGAGCGAGTCTCAGCGTGAGGAGGTTCTGCAAGCCGGCAAAGGCTTCGGCCTCGATCGCCGTTAGCATGTTCTCGCTGAGGTCGAGCTCGCGTAGCAGCGTGAGCCCGGTGAACCGGCGCCGCGTCAGCGTCCTTAACTGGTTCCCGGACAGGTTGAGCGTCTGGGTGTCGTCGGGAAGGCCGTCGGGAACGGACGCTAGTTGCCTGGATGAGCAGTTCACGATGGGGAGCTTCGGGACACAGTCGCAGCGCTGGGAACACGGGCCTGATAAAGCCACGCCTACTACCCACTGGAGCACCACCCACCAGTGCAGCCTCCTCCAATCAGCAGCCACACACATCTGGAGACCCGCCTACAGGGGAACACAGAGCCAGACATCAGAGCACCGTTTACCTGATCCTCATATTAGAGTGATTTCTGGAGGATCATGTGACACTGAAGACTGGAGTAATGATGATAAAGATCACAGGAAAAAATTACACTTTACTGGATATTCACATAGAGAACTGATGATTTACATTAGAATAATATTTCACAATATGTTTTATTTATTTTTTTATTTTTTTTAAATGCAGCCTTGGTGAGCAGAAGAAATCTTTTAACATTAAAAATCTGTGTGTGTGTGTAGATGTGAGGGAAACACTCACCAGCTGGACGAGGGGCGGCTCCTTCTCATTACCAACAGCAGAAGAGTCTCTCTCGCCCTCTCACAGCCTGCAGAGAGAGAGAGAGAGTTAAAGGTAAAACAACACACTCTTTACCTCCTCAAACACAGCTCTGCTCACAGCGACCAGTTCTGGTATATGTGTGTAAGAGAGTGTGTGTGTGTGTGTGTGTGTGTGTGTATAAGTCTCTGTATGATTGTCCAGGACTCCAAGCGTCATGTTTGCATAACCAAATGTTGGCAGTGTTTAATGTATCAAAGCCGCAACAAAACAAGGAGCTGCCAGAGACACAGCATGCATCTGTGTGTGTGTGTGTGTGTGTGTGTGTGTGTGTGAGTGAGGCCCCGTCCACACTGAAGCGTTTTCGTTTAAAAACGGAGAATTAAAACGAATACGATTTCCGTCCACACCAGCGTTTTATTTGCACATTAGAATTGATCTCCGTCCATATTAAACCGTCTGGAAACGCGGATCACGTGACCATTCACCAACACTGGGCACATGTGTGTGCCGGTGTAAACGGTGGCTGACGAATCAGGGAAGGACACGCCAAGACTGATGACACCCAATCATAGAGCCGAGCGTGAGCCTCTGCGTCAGCGTTTCTCATGTCCTCCGTTTAGTCTCGTCTACACTAAAACGCCCTCCGGAGATTCAAAACGCAAAACAGAGACGCAGCGTTTCTAAACTTCTCCGTTTGTGTGTGTGTGTGTGTGTGTGTGTGTGTGTGATGTTGGTGGGTCGAACTAGTTTAGATCTGCTCCTCTCGAACTCACGGTTAGTAATAATTTCAGTCAGACCGTGTGTGTCCTCACTGCGCTGAATCATATTTCATCAATAAAACTTATAATATTTCATTTTTTACAGCAAATCATGTCTCTCGATCCTTTAGAAATCATTCAAATATGCAGATTTGCTGCTCAACAAACATTTATGATTATTATCAATGTTGGAAACTATAGAAGTATAAGATCCTCTCAAAAGCACTTGAGCATGAGTGGTTTAATTCTCAGATTCAGTGTGTCTGTGTGAATGAGCTGGTGTGTGTGTGTGTGTGTGTGTACATCTGGATGCTCTTTAAGGGCATGAAGTTTAAACGTCCACACTTTTAAAGATGCTTAATGGACCGAAACAGACGTGCTGATGTAAACAAACAGAGGATGAGTGACCATCATTACAGGCCATCTGATGACCAGATTACACACACACAGACTTACGCATACACTCACAAACACCCACACTTGTCATCCAGATGTGCAAACACACACTCACAGCCAATCACACTCATCAATACTAAAACCCATGACTATGGAAAGACAAAAGGTTCAAAAACACGTACATTTTGTACATCTGTGAGTCACTGTGGATGAAAGCATCTGTAAAATACATTACAACACGTAAACTACGAGTATTTTACGCAAATTTTACATGTTTTTGACCATTCTGGCCTTCCATAAATGTCAAACTTTCCCATGCAAACGTGTTTCTGATAGTAATGCACTACAGATGCTTTAATCCACAGTGACGGCATTGCAAATGTACAAAAGTTTTTAATTTATCGGAATCAAAGCCATATTAGTTAATAATGCGTAATGTTTCAGCCTTGTCGCTCTCTCTGTTTCAGAGGTCACTCCTTCCTCACCTAAGCACATGACCTCTGACAGGTGAGGCGTTGCCATTCTAAATATGTTACATAATATGTTAAATAAATATGTATTTATTTTTTTGTATTACAGCAAAAAATGGGGGTACATGAGCTCATTTGTCATTAAATGAAGTTTAAAGTTTAAAGTTCACAATGCAAAAAAAAAAAGAAAAGAAAAATATTCTTTTTCTCAAAACTTCTTTGTTTTTATGTTCGTGATTTACCCTCAGGAGCGACACCACCACACACACTCCAGCTTACATCACACACACATTCTGTTTATTAATATAGTGTTTATTCTCACCTGATGCCAGGCGTCTGTCCTTCAAAGTCCAGAAGCGCGAACTCCATCATCATCATCATCACATCATTTTCCGCGTGCACGCGCACAGGTGCTTTTTTTTTTTTTTTACCTCAGACTCGATCAAACTGCGCGGATCGACGCGAACTTCACTTGCTTCACTCTTCGGGACCGGGAGAAAGAGATCCAGGTATATTCCCTCAGGTAGTTTCTGTCGCGTTCATGTGCGCGTCCGCCACTCAACGGCATCAGCTCGAAACAGTCACGAGCGCCCGCGGGAGCGCGCGCGGCCGGATTTATTTACGCAAACATGAGCGTGGATTCGAGCCAAGAACGCGCATTACTCTTCAGATGCGGGTGCAAGATGAGGGTCACACTAATCTGCGGATTTAACACTCAAAATAAATGAAATAAATAAATAGTTTAAATGGATAAATGGAGCTTTTGTGCGTCTTAATGTCACTCCTCGAGCCTGTCATTTTCATCATCGAGAGAATGAAAAAAGGTATTAATTCATGTTTAATGAGAACAGCAAGACTAGAGAGTGTGTAATCACGAGTAACACACACACACACATTCTACTGTCACTGTCATGAAGTCACCTTTATTTATATAGTGTTTTTTACAATACAGATTGTTTCAAAGCAGCTTTACCGAGATAACATTATTTCCAAACAGAGTGTTTTATGAATGACTGTTTGAGTGTGCTCCAGACTGTGTGTGTGTGTGAGAGAGAGTGTGTGTGTGTGTGTGTGTGTGAGAGAGAGAGAGAGAGAGAGAGTGTGTGAGAGAGAGAGAGAGAGAGAGAGAGAGAGAGAGACTGATCTCAGATTAATCCAGCATCTGCGTGACGGGTGTGTGTGCGTGTGTGTGTGTGTAATCTGTGTTTGTGATTTGTTGTTATTTGCTGAGACTGCAGCTTTATGGTTTCATTCAAACACTGAAAGCGCACAGAAATCAAACACTCGTATTTAGTGAAGCTTGTGTTTGTGTGAGAAACACACAGGATTGTGTGTGTTTATGTGTGTGTGAAGATTAGAGGGGTTTACAGCTGATGTTTACTGATCTTTATATAATGAAAGAAAAACACACACCGCATCTTCAGACTGAGTCTCGGCTTCTTCACTGCATCTGTTGTGTGTGTGTGTGTGTGTGTGTGTGTGTGTGCTGCGGTGAAAAGCTGTTAATTGGTTAGCAGAGAGTTTCTGAACTGGTGAATAACTATAGATCTAACCGTACATTTAATGTAGTTTTACATTTGTAAATCGTATAATTTACAGTGAAAGTAAATTGACATTTCATATTTGATATATTTTTGTTGAAAAAGTTTCTTCATAGTTTCTAAAGTTTCTCTAATAAGTTATGAACATTAGGGTTTTGTGTTACATGTTGTTACATTAATAATTATTGCATTTTTTTAAACTTCATGTGTGACATGCTTACAAAATGTGTCTCATATTGGGATAAATTACAAAACATTTCCCATTTTTCGTTTTCAACTTTGACTGTTTTGCTAATTTTTCAGATATGGCCCATGATCTTCCCCAGCTGGACTGACGGCTCCAGGGGTGATGGAGAAAGTGTGTGTGTGTGTGTTTCTGCTGTCGCTTCAGAGAGAGGATGGAGAAGCGTTCTCATCTGATCCGTTTCCCAGAGGTGAGTGAGAGGTGAATCTCCCTCGTGTGTTTCTGCTGAGTCAGATCCTCTCCATCTGTGTGTGTGTGTGTGTGTGTGTGTGTGTGTGTGTGTGTGTGCGCGCGCTTCACGCTGTGTGTGCGTCTGCTGCAGGATGAGTGTGTGTGTTTCCGAGTATACGGTATCCGAGTATCGTGCATCAGCTCATCGTGTAGTCGATACGCTCTTCGGTCATTTTTGACCCAAAAAATTTAATATTTGTTTTTGTAAGATTTTTTTCTGCATCGGAACGGTACGAAATTTGGTAAAGGTTTTGACACTTGCTGTGTGAACACAGAAAAAAATCATGGGCATGATCTGAACAGGTTAAATGGTCCTGATAACAACAGTCACACTTGAGTCGTCGCGGTCGGAAACGGCGCATTGTAAATGAATTCCCCTAGTGGACGCGTTTGGAACTGCAGCCGAACACACACTCACTGAACGCTCGTTTACTGACAGATTTATGCAAAACACAACTGGTTTTAGATTTATGGCTTTGATTTTCTCACAGTTTTAGGGTAAAACATGTTTTTGAAAATTAATGTTTCATATAAAAATTCTAAATTGTATAATAATATGATAATAATATATAATAAACATAAAATTCTGTAAAGTTCCCTTTTTAAAACTGCCAAGTGTCGTGTTTGACAGTGGCATCATGCCCATTCTAAGTGAGGGACTCGAGTCCTGCCCCCTCAGATTTTCCCTCCATGATAATTTTTTGTCACAACAGCTCTCGAATATTTGCTGTGTTGTATGTTCAAGCTACTCACTCGTCTCGCACGTCGAGCTGGCAATGTCTTACAGATGGTCTCGAAGTGTTAAGTGGGCAAAGCAACAAATCGGCATTGCTTTAGTTATCGGATGATATTAAAGGAGAACTCCGGCGAACAATGAACCTTTGGTCTAATAACACATCGATACCTAGTCAATCGTTCTCTGAGATTTGTTTTCATGATAATCGAATGTAAAGAGTTTTATCTCTAAAAACTGTTTAGCGTATAATGCTAGTAATGGGGGCATTTAATAAGTAAAGAGAAATCGCTAGTTTATACCACTAACAAGGCTCAAAATAGCCCCACACTAACACAGTAACATAATGAGGCTCCATACATGCAAAACGAAGCATTGAGAACTTTGTAAGTGTACAGACCGTTTAATAAGAAGATACTTTATGAAGACAGTTCACTTCGCGTAAACAGACAGGAGCCATCTTAAAAAATAGTCTCGATAAGTCGATCCCCGAACGCCGTTCATACAGTTCAGATCACTCAGCACGACGTTCGTGGTTTGACTTATCGAGACTATTTTTTAAGATGGCTCCTGTCTGTTTACGCGAAGTGAACTGTCTTCATAAAGTATCTTCTTATTAAACGGTCTGTACACTTACAAAGAAATTTTGTATGGAATTTTTGAGATGGTCCTTCTCCGCCCCCTGATCCCTGATCCCTAACCCCACCCCCCTCCCTAACTCCACCCCCTGGATCTGGTGTGCTGCGATGACACGTGTCTGATCACTCGCCATCATGATGATCAGCGTTTGCTGTAGTTGAGCTCTCGACGTTGTGTGTTGAATCAATGTTTTGCACTTAATACACACAATATTGAAATTGTAATTTTATGTGCTTTCTTGTCAAATTGCTATGATAGTTTTTACATCGGTGCGTGTGTGTGTGTGTGTGTGTGTGTTTCACAGTAACACACATGACATGTTCAGCGTCAGTAACACACCCGTCAGCATCAGCTCTGGCGTCTCAGTGTTACACACCCTCCTGCGGGTGTCAAACGTCTGAACATCACACACACGCACACACACACACACACACACACTTGAATAGTTCCAGAGGTCTGATCCCTGAACTCACCAGAACTCAAACATCAGGAGATGACACGAGAAACTAACACTGATAATGGAGTTCACATGACAGACAGAATCAGACAGAGTCGAGCTGGAGACGAGAGAACACAAACAGAAGCGGAGTGTGTGTGTGTGTGTGTGTGTGTGTGTGGAGATAATGATGTGACTTCCTCTTTCAGAAGCTGTTAAAGTGAGGGCAGAAAGTGTGTGTTTATCTCTTCTTTCTCAGACGCTGGTAAGATCCTGCATCTCGTTCACTATATCTATATATAGTATATCTATATCTTTATCTATATATCTATATCTATAGCGCTTCATAAAACACTGCGTTTACTGTACAAACATCTGGTAAAAAAGTTTGTTTCTACATATATACATTCTAAATCATTAACATCATCATAGCAAACAGGGAGTGTTCTCTCACCGTTCGTTCACAGTTAGACGTCAAAAACATTATTATAAGTGTTTTCTCTGAAATGTTCGACGAATGTTTTTTAAATGTTACTGATTCCAGAACGTTCAGATTCAAAAGTAACGTTCCATAATGATTGAAGAACGATACGATGGAGTGTTCCCGTAGCGTTCGCATAACCCGGAGAAACGTTCAGAAAGCTGGATGCTGTGAAGTGTGTGTGTGTGTGTGTGTACTGGGAATATGAGGGAATACAGGTCCAGGATTATGATTACACAGATATTATAATTGATAAAATAAGTACAAGTTCATAAATGCAGAACAGGACAGTTGAAGAAACTGCTGCCAGTTCAGAGAACATTCAGAAATAATCTTTTCATAACTTAATGAAAACATATTTTTATATTTTTTCAGCTGGGTTAAAGACCTTTCTTTTTAATATCTAGTCGAGAAAACACATCTTTATCAATCAGAGGTTTCAGAAATACAGAAGCAGTACAGCCTAGAAAAGGATTTTGTAAAGTCGTAACTGGAGAACGTTTTAGAAAATACCAGTTCAGTCTTTCTACTTCTAAATTTCATGTTTAATTTAATGTTATTTACTATTTCTTTAAAATTATTTGTGAAATTTATTAACAGTTTCTGAGTAAAAAAATATTTTTTTTATATAAAAATATTAAAAATATTTTTGATTTTTGAATTAATATTTAAAATGATATTTTAAATATTATATTATTCTGCTTGTGTTATTATTGTTATAATATTATTCTGTTTGTGTTCTGGTCTTTGGATAAAAGCGTCATCTAAAGTAATAAATATTAAATACAAATAGAATATTTTATACTATTTAAAGTATAGTATGAATTTATAGAAATTTTTTTTTTACATATAAATATAAAAAATATTTAAAAGAAATATGTGCGTGTGTGTGTGTGTGTGTGTGTGTGTGTGTGTGTGTGCAGGTATGCTGGTCTTCAGGATTGTTGTGGTTCTTCTGTGTGTGACTGTGGTCTGTTCTGAGATCAGTCGTCTGACGGATCAGTGGATGGCCTGGAAATCTCAACACAATAAGAGCTACAGGAACACAGTGAGTACACACACACACACACACACACACACACACACACATCTCTCTGCTCTTTTTGACCCACTGAACTGAGATCAGCAGAATGAGGTTTGTGATGTTCGACACCTGAGCTCTTCACGGACACTATAATGTCATCCGAGCCTCGATCGAGACACACACACACACACACACGCTGCAGGACTGAGCCTCAATCGAGACACAATCAGTTCAAGTGAGCGTAAAATGATTAAATAACGGCAGCCAACCAGGACTGTGATTGGACAACACTAATCTGACGAGTAAGCTGTCCTGTGTTGTGTCTAGTGCACACTATACAGTGAGGAATCATGGAGTGTGTGTGTGTGTGTGTGTGTGTGTGTGTGTGTGTGTGTTGCAGAGAGAGGAGCGCCACAGGAGAGCCGTCTGGGAGCAGAATCTGCTGGAGATCCTCAAACACAACGAGGAGACGGCCGGCGGTCTGCACACATACACACTGGGACTGAACCAGCTCAGCGACATGGTGCTTTCACACACACACACACACACACACACACACACTGGGACTGAACCAGTTTAGCGACATGGTGCTTTATCACACACACATTAATAAAATGTATATTTAAAATAAATAATTTTAAGTAAAAACAATTTGCATAAAAAACTTAAAAATGACACATTCAAGTCAATCAAAATAAAACTGACTAAAATTTTATTATTAAAATTATTTTATTATTAATTTTTAATTAAAATTATTTATTATTAAAATTATTAAAATTTTTAAATCATAAAAAAATGTCATTTTAAATGAAATTTCCAAACATTCATAAATCACATTAGAAGTCAAATTGATCGAGATGAAGTGAGCTAATGTTTATTATATTAATAAAACGACAAAGAATGTCAGTTTTTTAAAAAGAAAAATCAACCTTAATAATTTAAATAAATCATTTTATGAAGCATAAACTCTTTTTATGAATTTTTATGAACCAAAACTTAATTTTGATACTTTTTATAGAAAAGAAAAGACCTTTCTTTATGTCAGTGTAGGTAATGTCGTGTGTGTGTGTGTGTGTGTGTGTTCAGGATGCAGATGAAGTCAATCCTCTGATGAACGGTTTATTGGAGGAAGATCTTCCCGAAGTCAACGTGTCGTTCAGACCTCCGTCACATGATCAGCGGCCCGTCCCAGCCAGAGTCGACTGGACGGAGCACGGGATGGTCAGTCCTGTCCAGAACCAGGTGTGTGTGTGTGATCAGAGGAGTGTAACACTTGTGTGATTACAGGAGTGTAACACGTGTGTGTGTGTGTGTGTTTAGGGGCGGTGCGGCTCCTGCTGGGCCTTCAGTGCTGCCGGGGCTCTGGAAGGGCAGATGAAGCGGAGAACTGGCGCTCTGGTTCCGTTGAGTCCACAGAACCTGCTGGACTGCAGTGTGAGTTTGGGGAACCGAGGCTGTAAGGGCGGATATCTGAGCCGAGCGTTTCTCTACGTCATCCAGAACAACGGCATCGACTCCAACACCTTCTACCCGTATGAACACAAGGTACACACACCGCTTCCCTGACGTCTGTCAGACCAGAGCCCGCAATGTTCATGGGGAACGCGATAAAGCTGGAGGTGTGCGACCCCTGGAGGATCCTGAGGGAACTGATGAAAAGCTGATGAATAAAAAAACGAATTAAAAACACTTACTAAAAATTGTTGAAATGATAAAAATTGAAGTAAATAATTTAAAAACAAAAATATGTGACACATTTATTTTTTTATTTAACATTAAAAATGTAATATTAAAATAGCTTTAAAATAAATATTTAAAATAAAAATAAAAAATTACAAACAATTAAAATAATATACCAAATATTTAATTTGTTTAGCTACATGTCATGTGACTATTAACCATCATCAGAGAACCTTGTGGTGTTCAATATGTGTGTGTGTTGATACTGGGGAGAGCTGGTGTGTGTGTCTGCATGATTTTTGTGTTGATGTGTGATGTTGTGTGTGTGTGTGTGTACAGGAGGGTGTGTGTCGATACTCAGTGACGGGGAGAGCTGGATACTGCTCTAGTTTCCGGGTTCTTCCGCGTCACGACGAGGCAGCGCTTCAGTTCGCCGTCGCTAACATCGGCCCGGTGTCCGTCGGTGTGAACGCCAAACTGCCTTCATTCCACAGATACAGAGGAGGTGACACACACACACACACACACTAACCTGACCCCTAAACCTACCCATCCCACACACACATTGACGACCCGTGTGTGTGTGTGTTCAGGCATCTACAGTGAGCCGCAGTGCCGCGGGCTGGTCAATCATGCGGTTCTGGTGGTGGGTTACGGCTCGGAGAATGGCCTGGACTATTGGCTGCTCAAGAACAGGTTCTGCTCTGGTTCTCACACACACACACACACACACACACAGCACTACAGGCTCTGTCATGTGTTTAATACGTGATTGTAACATTTTTTATAATAGTATTATTAATTATTGAAAGGACAGTATTCATATTTTTTTATAAATATAATATTTTATATTTGTTTATTATATAATAATAACTTCAGTACCTGCAAGTCCCAGTGTGTCAGTTTGAGCTCTAGTGACCTCTAGTGGTGTACATGTGAAATCATATTGATTATTTGAGGACACTAACTCTTATTTTCTGTGTGTGTGTGTGTGTGTGTGTCAGCTGGGGGACGGCGTGGGGTGAGAAGGGCTTCATACGCATGGCACGAAATAAAAACATGTGTGGAATCTCCAGCTTTGCCATTTACCCCACCGTCTCTGATCCCGTCCGGCCGGACCCCTGAACGCCTGCCGATACCTGTGACCGCAGACACCTCACACACACACACACACACACACACACACCAGAGCCCTGATTATTCTGTCAAATGTATATTTTGTGCAAGGGCTGAATGTCTAGCTTTACACTTCTTAAACTTATTTACACTTTAATTTTTCGAAGTGCTTCTGCAATAGTAATCGTCTGAGTGTCTGTTAGATGTTAAAGTCAGAAGGAGGCGGAGTTTATAATAAGGGGGAGGGGCTTCTTATGCTAGAGAGCATCTGATTGGACGAAAACATCACTGCAGAATCTGTAATACATTAAACCTCTGATGGAAAAGACCATGATAAAGTTGATTAATTTAGTCTAATTGTGTGGGTCACGCTTTACTATACGGCTCATTAGTTAACATTAGTTCACGTGTTAACGAACCATGAGCAATACATGTGTTTATTAATCTTTGTTCATGTTAGTTCAGTGCATTAATTAATATTAAATATAACCTTTAATTTTAATGTATTAGTAAATGTTAAAATGAATATTAACTAAGATTAATAAATGCTGTTCATGTTAACTAATGACCCTTATTGAGAAGTGTTGGCATTTTGTGTGTATGATGACAATTGTGTAAATAAATACAGCTCAAAGTCGGATTAAAATAAGCAGCATGGCTTTTATTGATTGTGTTTTATATTAATCTACAAAACAAATGTAAAAGCGTAGTGTGCGTTTACCAGCGTTACAGTCCTGAGTCGAGATGAACACACAATACTGAGACGATCATCAGAAAACACTTCTGTTCCTCATTAACAGTGTGACTCGTCTCCTCAGAGCCAGTAGTGTGTGTGTGTGTGTGTGTGTGTGTGTGTGTGTCGGTCACATGTGCTCCGGGTGATTCTGAAGACAGCTGATGAACTCCTTCACCTGACGTCCCTCGAAACAGATCTGATACACGGACACGAACAGGGGAAACCTGCACACACACACACACACACACAGATGACGTCACACACACACACTGCTGCTGATGATGATGATGATGTCACTGGGACTCACTTGTCGGTCATGTTTCTCTTCTGAAGGATCTTGTAAACCTCCGCAGACGTCTGAGGACCCTGGAGCTTCTGGCCGTTCAACATCTCCGCTTCCAGCTCTGCGATCGACTGATCAAACACACACACACAAATATAAAGACTTTTCAGGTCTCGGTATCGGCCGTATCGGTGCGGTCACAGATCATTTTTTTTTCCGAATAGCAAGAAAACAGCGTCTGACCTTCTGTGTGCGCGCGAAGGCCTCGGCCACGCGGCGGTTGCGTCCGCCGTAGCAGGTGGTGATGAGGTCTGCGACGCCGCAGCTCTCCAGGAACACGGCGGAGGAGACGGCGCTCTTGCAGAACAGCTTGGAGAACGCCACCATCTCCATCAGCCCCAGCCGGATCACGGCGGCTTTAGTGTTGTCCCCGAAGCCCAGGCCGTCACAGAACCCGGCGCCCACCGCCACGATGTTCTGCACACACACACACACACACACTTATACACAATCTGCAAAATTGAAATTAATCATTTTAATTGATTCAGATGTTCATATGATCATTTTTTCTAAAATTGCATGTATGTTTTATTATTTACAACTGACACTTTTAAACAAGACTATCAGTGTAAATTGTCCCGTGTGTGTGTGTGTGTGTGTTCGGGCACCTTCAGAGCGCCACACAGCTCCACCGTGTCGCTCTCCTTCACCACAGTGATGCGGAAGTTCGGCGTCTGCAGAAGCTCTTTGAAGATCTTGCCGTTCGGCTCATTAGTGGCTCCTGAAACACACACACACACACAGACAGAAAGAGTCAGAAACACATACACAGAGAGAGAGTCAGAAACACACACACACAGTATCAGAAACACACACACACAGAGTCAGAAACACACACAGTATCAGAAACACACACACACACAGAGTCAGAAACACAGAGATATTCAGAAACACACATGTAGGAGCTATTTTGAGTTTAGTTTAATCTAAATTGTTGTGCTATTGAAGCACTGGAAATGTTTTATTAGATTTAGGATCCTTTATTTTGTAGGGACTTTTATTTTGACAGTTGGTGAGAATGTTTGAATAAAAAGATGGCCGCCTCTCACTTTTTCAAACACAAGAAAAGAGCAAGGAAGCTGTTGGAACGTACAAGCATGCAGTTCTTTACTTCGTTATCGAATCACGATTGAACACTATACTTGGACATTAGTTTTGTGCCTTTAACCACCTTTCTTTAATCAACTACCAATCGTTTGTTGGTTTACTGGAATCCATCCTTTGTCTGATACTACCAACCTACACACCTGCCCGCTGCCTGCCCTGCTCAGCTTAACCTACTGAAGTCCAGCTCATCCATCAAAAAAGGTACAATTCAAGTTTCTTTGCGTTGGATAGCTTGTCAAAGAAGTAAACCAATCAGCTATCAGTGGTCCGCCATCACAACACACACAGAATCAGATATACACACACACAGTATTATAAAAACACACACACAGAGTCAGACACACTCTGCAGGTTGCACACACACCGATGGTCGTCTCGCAGAACTTCTCGTCGGCCACTTCGCTGGCGATGTTTGCGCCCATCAACACACTGACCTCGATCTCCAGCTTCGACCTGATGATGTCAGAGATCAGGGTCAGACCGTCCGGACCCTCGTCGACACCCTACACACACACACACACACACACACACACACACACACACACACACACACACGAGATGAGTCTGGAATGGACTAGGGCACTACAGACTGTTTTTTAAAAGATACTTTGTGAAACTGTATACACTGTGCAAACAATTATTGATTTATTGTTGCATGTTTAATTAACCCCCCAAAAATGAGACCAAAAAATAATGAGAAATATGAAAATTATGAAAGTACAGATATAATCTACAAATTAGCCAGATGAAGTATCCTTTAATATGGAATATAAATACAAAACCTAATTAAAGTAATTATGTCTGAAAATACTTCGCTGATAATACATGTGTATTATGATTCAATATACAGTATACAAAACCTATAATAGTTCAGAAATAATACTGAAATGAGATTGATTGATTAATGAGTACTTTAATGAGGGAGATCCCGAGGGCTCCGGGTTTGACGTGAGGTTTCATCTGGTCACAGATTTTCACAATGAACTGATGAGGAATGACGAAGATCAGGAAGTCGGCTTCTTTCGCCGCCTCAGTGACGTCAGGAACAGCCACCTGTGAAACACGACACACACTCGTCTGAGATCAGCACTACACGACACACACTCGTCTGAGATCAGCGGTACACGACACACACTCGTCTGAGATCAGCGGTACACGACACACACTCGTCTGAGATCAGCGCTACACGACACACACACTCGTCTGACATCAGCGCTTCTTAAAGGGACAGTACGCCAAAATACACGTCTGTAGTTGCTGAATGAAATATAGACCATTTCACAAGATGTAAACAACACTGGTCCAGAAGCACTTCCTGTTTCAGTTTGTAACTGTTTTCTTTATTTCACATGTAAAGAAAACATCTTAAAGATGTTTGTTTAACTTTTTGATTCAGTTTTAAATGTTCTGTTGGTTGTATTTTATCCCAGCTTTTATGTGGTGTTAAAAAACTGAAACAGGAAGTGCTTCTGGACCAGTGTTGTTTACATCTTGTGAAATGGTCTATACACTGTGTCAATGGGAACCAACATTCTTCAGAACAGATGAAAGAAAACTCTCATAAAGAGCTTGAATTATTGCTAAAGTACTTTTAGTATTCCTTCAACTTTGACCTGGTTAATTAAAGTCATCATTATTAATCCATGTCTGGTTGAGAAATGTACAGACGCAGCAGTAACGCCCAGATGAGTTTAAAGGTGGTCGGTTCAAAGTTCATCACTTTAATCAGTGTGTCAGTTTACTGATAACCTGCTAACAATCATCTCTCGTTCACATATCAAGCACAGGTCATCTGAGGAAATACAATATATTTCCAATTACATTCAGGACACAAATTCTTTACATGCACATGACGTTTTCCCGATCTGTAGGGTTTAATATGGAGCTGCTCCACCGTTTTCCAGGCGTCTGCATGCCTAGTGCTTGATTTATACAGCAGTGGCCATGGAAGTGATTGGAACATCTGAACTCAATGATTGGGCAGGGTGTCCCAATACTTTTGGCAATATAGTGAATATCGCAGTATATACTGTGGATTAGCACATGTGGGACAGTAAGTAAAAGCTCATGACACACACCACATTTTTGGGCAGCTTGTGTCCCGGGAGGTACTTGACGTTCTCGTGTTCGGTGTTGATGATCTCGGTGAGTTTACGGCCATCAATCATCTCCTCATAAACCCACATCTTCACAATTGGGTCGAAGCGGTTTGAGGCTTTAACATTGTGCCCGATGATCTTTGCAATGGCAGAACCCCTATACAACACACACACAAAACACAACACATCACTAAACACACACTCTAAACAAGAGTTAAAGCTAGGGTATACGATTTCAAAGATTGTTCATTATTAATGTCCTCGTTTAGATGCTGGTTATATAGTACAATCCTAACAATATGAATAGAAAAAAGAATTTAAAAAATCCATTCAGTCTATTGGCTGTACAGCCGTAAAGAGGTTGACCAATGTAAGCTGTCCGGCCGGACAGCTTACATTGGTCAACTGCTCTCATCCAATCACCAGCTCCACTTGAAACTCCGCCTGGCGCTCGCGTCTCCAACCCGACCGCACCCGACCCGTACGCGAGCGAGCAGCTGACGGACAGTGTGGTTGCTAGCTAGTAGCGTCAGATCAGCAATGGATAAAAATATAAACAGCAGCAAGCGGCCCCTGCTTGCCCCCACTGTAAAGTTTGAGCGAAAGAGAAAGTCTGTAGATGTAAAAAATGTAAGGCCGGACTCCATAGGGTCCACTTTGACCGTTGGAGGAAGCTTCAGGGAGATCTGGGACTGAAAACCGTTGCTGGCACGGCTGACTTTTTGTTGAGCAGGTAAACATTTATTTATACTTTTATGTTGTGACGTGAAATAGCTTTTATCAGTTCGACAACTCGCTCATGCTGCTGGTCGGCATTGGTAATGTTAGCATCGCCTATCACGGGTCAAAGTAATTATATTTCTTGATGTGCTTGGATATATTTCAGTATGCCTAGCGGGTTTTTATTCGAGCCGATCGGAATTTGAACAAGATGTGCTGCTATAACAA